AAGAGGTAAGTTACTCTGCTCAGGCACCCGGAGAGACGACCACAATTGCCCGGCAAAGCGACGTGGTGAGCCCGCCTGTGGAACACATGCTATAGTAACTACGTTTTAACGGTTTTATTTGCCTTACCCCTCAATCGGACGCTTCTGGTGGCCACACCACAGTTTTAATATGCATTTGCATCCTTTTCTGGAGCACTGTACTCGAGTATTGTACGTGCTTGGATTAGGGTATCACGTTATATCATTTGATATCGCGAGGCAGAAAGGAGATACCGTACTCTAGGGATTTACAGGAGTCTTTCCGTATTGATAGAACTGTACATGGTGTAACGTAACATCTACCGCTGGATGCAGTACTTTGCGGTAATTGGAGAGAGTAGGGGTTAGTCTAACCCCCAAGTCGGGCTCCAGGGGTAAGCACAATAACCTCCTGGAGTACCGGTATATCGATTGTTGGTAGATTGTGATAGGTTCCCCGTATATGATGGGGCTGTAAAGAGTTACTCTGTTCAGGAAGTCGACTGCTCCCCTCAGGGTATTCTTGTATACTATACTCCTAGCAGGCAAGAAGTACCGGATAACGGAGACTCGCAAAATATATGGTGAAAAATCTGTGAATATCTAAGCGCACAAACAAACTCGCCAGCCCTGTTATCTCACCTGTTGCGAGTAGTACAGTGGAGTGCCATCCATAGAATCTAAGAGGTAAATAGAGAAGTCCATTTATTATCGCGATATCGGGACATTTGTTCTGGAACAAAGAGAACGGGGGACGAGTTGATCAACCTCCATGGCGCAATCCACAGGTGTAAAAGACCTTTCTCGCCGTACCGGAGGGCCTTGGTATTTGAGGAACTGTGTGGGGGTAGCCTCAAGATACCACACGAGCACTATCGCCACTCACACTAGGAAACCGCCTCGGGGTACTTTTGACGCGGGGTATTTCTTGGTATCCAGGTAAATTCACCTTCCAAAATCGGCTGACTTACAAATTCCCCGCATTGGCACTTCCTCCACATATCCAGGAGTCCAGTCGCAAGGTGGATAGACTATCCTGCGACTTTCTACCGATAATTCTCCTGACTGATCACCTCCAACTTACTCAAGCCATAGCCCCCAATACCGGTACCGGCACTCAAACTTGGGATTTCTGACCAACCTCTAAGACTTGAAAACGAGCTATTAAGGGTGACCCTTCGGATTATTACCCCCCTTGAGAGGTAGCTACAAGCTAGATTTATGTCCCTGAGCAGCTGAAGGTATGTTGTGCAAGACATGGCCGATGTACTCGAGTACACTCGTGTCCGCAAACTTCTCGAAACTCGGGTGTATCTCAAAGCCTCGGCAGTCTTCAGCTGGGAGATTGCAGAAGGTATTGGCTAGGAAGAGAGCATGAATATCTTCTATGTAACTTGCAGTTCCCAGATCGAAAAAATTTCTCGAAAAAGAGTCGCTCCTGTCTGGTTATGTAGGGTTGGAGTTGGTGGGGCACCTGAAGTGCTACTACAACTCTGCGGATGTGTGTATACCGGTACAACCAAACGCTGAACAGAATCGCAAAATATGGCTAATTCGGTGTAAAAGTAAAAATAACACCCATTTGTAAAGAGTGTGGCACAATATACGCAGTGAATCTTTTTGAGTACTCGTAACATGCAAGAAGTATCCGGACACAGAGATTTGAAAAATACCGGTATACAGGTAGCAAAAAGCTCCGTGCGTAATGCAAACTCTCGACCCGTATTATCGGATACTTTGATTCCTGCATCGTAAAAGTTAAGACTAATTTACCCAAGCTCAACTGCAAGTACCAATGGCATACTGGACTGAGTGAGCTACGCTGCGGTGTTGGACCGTGAACCGGGTCAAACGGGGAAGTGGATCAACAATGACAAAGGGCACCAAAACAAAGTAGAAATCTGAAAAATCTCGATTTACGTCCAGACGATACACGAAAGTGCAGGAGTGTTCCTGATAGTACATTTTGTTAGATTTGCCTGAATTCGGGGTTTTTATTTCGTCGAAATTTCTCTTTAGTGAGGATTTGGGCAAAATTCACATAATCTACAAGTACAAAGTGACCCAATACGTTACAGTCGCACCTCGTTATAAAGAACGCTAAGAGTTGGGGGGTTTTGTTCGTTATAGCAAGATTTCGGGGTGAATTCCTTATAGCGAGTACTGTTTGTATTGGAGCAGGGGTCTTGATTCCCGTACGATTCATTCGTAATGGCGAGGTTTCTCATACAAAGAGGTCCATTATAGCGAGGTGCGACTGTACTTGCATGATACAAAGGATGGATATAATTACAGGTATACTGCACCATTGCCCTGAAAAAACATGTACCGTTACCCCGAACAGTTAGATCCATCAGCGCATAGGAAACTCCTGGACCCTGCCAATAACGGGCGTCACAAACTGAGCAGCTGTGGTCTCGCTAGGCCACTTCTCAAGACAAAAATGTACTTTGCTGTTAGGAGCAGTCTGTGGATTGCACCTTCCTGTAGAGAATATCTTCCACTATTAAAAGATTGGTTCTCTAGAGCATAGCTTTACCTGTAGAGCGTAATCTGTTTTGTTTCATGTGTGTATCCGTAGCATAAGTATTTGGAAATTACTGGTGTCTAGCCATATATCTCCCGATCATTCGGTATGGTGAGGTAGAAGGAGTGAAAAGAGTATAATTTAGGTTAAGGCTTACGAGTACTATCGAGTATCAGAAGGTATTTTTTAATACCAACTACGCCAATCTAGAAGCAGCAGGCAAGGTCTTAGTTCACCTGAGGTGCTATAAAGGCAATATCAGTCTAAGCATGATACTCGAGTGGTGATCCATTCCTTGCGGTGGGTTGGGCACCACATTCCCAAGTCTAAAGCATACCCTAGGGAGGAGCTCTAATCGAGCAGCTAAACGTGCTCGGGTGCTACATATGATATACCGGTAGTTTGTGATAGCGAACGTACGCAGCGGGTTGTTGTGTCGTGTGGAGGAAAACACTTCTGTGGAGGCAAGAGGGAATGTGTTCAATTTAGTGGTCCATGACCGATTTGCTCCTGCTTAAATACAGGAAAGGAAAACTCCCACACATCAGGGTAAATCCCCATAGCATACCTACTGGGATTACATAACCATCAGTTTGGACAGCGGAAAGTTGGGACTGGGGCATGTGTATCTTGGGCGAAGGGCTTAGCACCACGCCGAACGGGTTGGAGATCTTTATCGCACGGATCATCTGACAGGTATTGTATGATACATAGACTTGATAGCATTACGATTGAACGTTTCTCGCTATTCTCGACCCCTTTCCTGTCGCCAGATGCCTTTACGTTATCGCCAACCCGAAGAAAAGCCCCGGTCGAGGAGCTGGGGGATAGCGTAAAAAACGTGAAGGATAATTCGTTGAGTAACCCCGAGGTTCGAAGGGCACAGTAATAATATCCGGAAAACATTCCCCCCCTGGGACTCCAGCGGGTGAGTGCTGTACTTCTGACCAAACTCTGGAAGCACAGAACACTAATGCAAAAACCTCCGCCCACTCATGGCCAATCACTGTGGTGTGCGGCACCTCCGCCTGGGTTAAAAAAAAAATTCCGGCGTGAAGCGTAAGTTATGAACAATCGACTACAACTATCCTCAAATAATCATTTCACACTGAGAGAATCGATTAAAGAGTAGCTCTACGATTTAATTACCCAAAAACACTTTGTTCCGGTTGAGTAGATAATGGAAGTGGTTTATACGGAAAGTAAATCTAGGTGGTTTTAAACACCATACATATCTGAAGCCAAATCAATCCACTAACATCTACTAAGCTAAGGCATAAGTCTTATTAAGGACTAACTCAGATCTAATGTGGATTAGCAAATTGGTGAATTCCCGAGTTTTTACCAGGAAAGGCACAGTTTGGTGTCGCACGCCAAACCGGCACTTGTACCCATCGCCCGGGGGTCACTCCACTCGTAACGGAATCAGTGAGAGACAAGATTAAAGTGGGGCTGTTTAAGCCTGCTTCTGAATAACAACGCGCAAGATACGCGAAAACTGTGGGGCCTGGATTCTACGCAAGGCCTCTTCTGCCCAGGTCCGCCATCCCGGTATCACTAACCATAAAAGAGCCCGTAAAGGGGAAAAGAGGAGGGGGTTGGCAGTGCTCTTACCATATAACTTAGGAGGGGGGTGGACCAATCATACCCGTCCAAGGCCATTGTATGAACGAATAGTTACTCACTAGACTAATACTATACCGATGAAGTTGTTCTTTGCGTCAACCCGCAAGATGCCTCGCCTTGGCAGACGGTAGGAATAGTAGCGATAATGAGGCTGGCTATATCGAAATTCGGGAGTGGTGTGAGGGATGATGGGGTGGCTGTATTACGATAGCATAATACTCGTATCCTGCTAATACGTGCGTGCCAAGACCCTATCAGCCCTACGAGAACATTTTAGGCATGGTGCTGGGCACTTGAAATCAACCAAAACCAACACAAGAATGATGTTCGAACTGCTCCAACCACAGCCCCATATATAGGAGGATATGAGCCCATTGAGGTACCCAGAAGGGACTCCTCTCTAATATTGTCCTTTTCTGATTTTCAATCAGAGCAATATTAGTGGAGGTAGTAAGGTTTCAAATTATCATAACTATATGTGTATGGTCGTTTTCAAGGTTCTGCGGAGCCTCAATTTATTTTCTGTGCGTTATGTAAGCAGATCAATCACCCGTGAATGTTGATTTCAGGTGCTCCTCACACGACTCTACGTTCGAAGAACCATGACGAGTTGGCTGCCCTAGCCACCCTCAACCAAACTGCACCCTAACTTACGGAGAACTCGTGATCATCATGACTGAGATGAGCATGATGACAATTACGATATATCTTACGTTTCGACTCAGGAAGCCTTGGCGGTCCTTCGACTGGTGAAATTCGCACGCCAATGCAACTCTTCCCCGTCAGTCTATATAAGGGTGGATGTCCTCTCATGAACCCCAAACCCACCCTCATCAACCAGCTCAGATCAGACAACCCGAGCGTTCTATTCAATTCACTTCAATACTAGTCGCTCAAAGCCTTCACAAGCCTCTCTTCACCTCCAACCAAAACAAACAAAACCACCAGAATGAAGTTCTCTAGTGCTCTCCCTTTTGCCTCTACTCTTGTTAGCGTCCTCGCTGTCCCGGCTGCTGCCAGAAGCCGTGTCTTTAGCCTCAAGACCGCAAACAGCTCCAACAATGAGTTGAACAACTTCTGGATCGAGAACTTTGGCAACCATGCCTCCTTTAACACTAGTGGGCAGGTTGTCAAGGCTTACTTCGCCGACGACGGCAGCCGCAGACTCATCGTTAACGGGCTCGACGGTACCGAGGACAATGTGTTCCTAATCCCCGAGACTCCCAATTCTGCTGTTTCCAACCTTGTTTTCGCAGATGCTGCTATTTCTGAAGTAGGATATGAAATACCCTTCTTGTGTCGGGGATAGTTTGCTGATTTTGATTCCTTAGTCCCGCTCCTCTGAGTGGGGTATTACCAACGACAAACTAGTATACGGATCCGAAGACCGCTTCTATGCCTTCCCCACCACTACCGGTACTGGATGGGAGGTCAGTAGCTCCCGTCTCCCTTTCCCATACAGCATAGCCCAATCGATACTAACAATTTCCCAGATCCGCTGGGTTGATGAGGATGCTGTCATCCCCGCGAATACCTTCCCGGTCCACCTTGCCGTCGAATACCTTGCTTGAGCCAAGCAGCTCTCTCGAGCCCACACTCAATAGATCGATCCCCATTCTATCGCAACTACACTCATGGTACGGTTGCGATACGGATGAGATGCGGAAGTTAATGATAATGGTAGGGCGGAATGGTACGAGTCAAGATTAGTGTATGGAGGGGGGGATTTGATTGCGAAGGCAAAAGAAGCGAATCATATATCTTTAGACTGTTATTTTAGAATTAATGCTGAACGGTTAACTGACATCATTACCTTTAACAGCTGTCCCGTGCTATATGAAACGTGATGTGATGTTTCTGTGACGATGTGAACCAGGATATCCAGACGGGTGTTAGTTTAGGAAGGAACGAAGAGATTCTTGCTTCGAACTAACCGGCCCATCAGAAGTTATTGAAATGGCCAACGGCAATCAATTTTGTTCAATGATGAAAAACCGCATGACGCTCTTCGGAGCGCCTTGAACCTGGTACCAAATTTGAAGCCTAATCCCAAACTATGACTTCACCTAGAACAAACGCGTGGTAGTCTGAGTTAACCCACTACTCCAGTATCGTGATACACGTCCCATGTCTCAGCGAGGGCCCTTCACGTGTAGTCTGAGAAGAGAGTCTAGCCGATCTCAGCCCAGATATAATGCCAAGCTAGCGAAAACCGTAGTTTTTCTAGAACACACCTCTTGGGAAACTCCTAACCTATTTGAAGGTATCTCGAGTACGGTAATTTCTACGGCATCCATCCTTCCACTGAGCCCTGCGTACTACTCGTAGGTGGACGCAAGCGAGATGAATTCATCCACGATCACTCGCTTAAGTGAAGATGGGGGGTCATAGGCGAGCGACGATATATATCCGCCGCTATATGTGCCATACCGTACATACTGTAGTGCCGAAAAGGTCAGCTGCGGTATGCGGTGCGGGGCAGGAGGAATGTTCTGAAATTTTGGCGGTTGGCCTCAACTATATCATAACTCAAGTGGGGGGGTTCTTACCTTGATAAGTTGCAAGTTCCGCTGCGGTTTTTTTGGGCGGAGGGGGATTATCAACCCCCCCAATAGTACCGGGTCCCTTTCGTGGCACACTGTCACTTTCCTCCTCCCCTTACCTCTCTCTTTCCCCCGTAACAGCACGGCTCAAATTCAATCCAAAGTGTGAACCATTCCTAGTATCCTGAAGAAGTCCGGCTTCACTTGCGCATGGCTAGGATTAGGATGATTTGCGTTGGTCCGTACGCCTGGCTTGACTCGCTCTTAGAGAGTTGTTGTAACATCGGTACATGCAGCTGCCGAGCTGGAATGTCTCGAATTTTTCTCTTTTCCCCTTCCCCGAACCACCAGCACTCAAGGCTGCCGTTATCGTGCGTGTCTGCGTCCGAGGCGCGGAGAGTAACTTCACGACTTTCCGTCAAGTAGGTTCCAAGAAAGCCCGCACGATCTGGACTTGATGGTAAACACGTGGGGACCGGTGGATCTCTGGGAGTGGCCCTGCCGTGGTTTCCTCCAGTTATTTTAATGGCCGAGTTTATCATTCCCGAGTTTTGTGGGGCTTTCGGTATTCGTGCAGTAAACGTGGGCTAGGTTGGCCGATACTGTGTCAAGCTCCCTAGGACTGGAGATAAGGAGTGGAACCTGGTATCGCCGGAGCACATTGGGCTTGCTCGCCAGAATTTGGCAAGAGAAAATTTCGGTCACATGATCTGGTTTCTGTCAGTTATGTACCGTATTGCCGGTGAGCTCGGCTGTGACATGAGATATAATATTCCGCATAGCTGTCAAGAGTGACCGAAACCTGTGCTCTTGAGGGGTATTTCACCAATATCCTATCAAGGAGTTGTAGTTACGTGGCTTTAAGTATCGAAGATGCTGTTTTTGAGTTTCTGGGGGACCTTATGGGATACCGAAGCTTCGTTCTCCACGGTATGAGCAATGGCAATGTTTCTCTGAGCTCTCCTAGCTAGGTTCCTTCTATGCTGTCATAACAGCTTGGTGTTAAGCTGACGCACGCTATGATACCCCTCATGCACCGTTTCTATTCGTTTCTTTGTTTTTGAGGGGCCAGTTGAGGCCTTAGTTTGCTCCCGGGTGTTAGAAAGTAGGTTTAACTGTCATGGCTAATCAACTTCGAGCCGGCACCCAAGTCGAATAATCGATCTTCTATTGTTACTGCTCTTATTTCTTTTATTTCTCACAATGTGGAGGATTACATCATTTATACGGGCCTGCGGAACCTGTAATTTTCTTGCTAATGATCTAACCACCCAGAAATACGGGTTCTCTAGGCAACCCAGTTTTGTGATGTTTACCTGGGGGAACTTGGAGGAATTTGGGTTAGGTTTGGCACGGGCCCATAAAGCGTCTGCTCGGATACACTTCTTGTGAGCCTTTCTCGGGGGTTTTTCCCCACAGGGCCGAGTGAGTGAGATCAGGTCTAACTTACTCTGCATATTTGGAGCTGGGTATCTAAGGTAGAGGTTCCCATATAAAGTTTCCAGCTTCAATTCCAGCGTGGGAGAATTATATTATCTCTAGAAATTTTCTGGATCGCGGTGTCAGATGTGAGGTGGAAATAACTATAAATGGCTAACTTATGAGACCACCTAGCATGGAGGGTAAAGTGGATTGAGCCGACAGTCGCGACGTCCCCATCGATAATGCAGGAACAAGTCCTCGATAGCAGCCTATCAGTGTCTGTATCGCTAGCGTATTGTTGATAATGAGATCTGGTAATCCAATCTCGACCGCAGGTCAGTGGCGGGGCTCATGCCATTATGAATGGGAGATCCACACCAAATTGCGCGTTCCAAGTCCTGCATCTTCCCCATGACTTAGCCCAAACGACTTGGCAGCGTACCAGGGTCTAGCGGGAATAGCTGCCCTTGGATTCCAGACCCCTTGCCGGCGAGAGGGAAAGGATCTGAGACTTTCTATATTAAAGGGTTGTCATAATAATTGAGATGTGAAGACATTGGCTTTCGTCTAGGATGTTGCAAGGGATAGTTAAAGATGGTGTATTATAGATTGTCAGCTACTACTTGTGCGTGGTTTGGGGATTTCTAACATGCCGACTAATTAAAGCTAGCTGCAGATTGGGGTACCTTTATTTTGAATGCTTGCATACAGAGTCCCAGCGGTGCCTCTCATTCGCTCCGGGGGTGAGTTCAAAAGCTATGAGACTCCGCCATTATGAGGCGTATATGACGGGCCACAGTGGGGTGTCTTATGAATGAGTATATCAGTTAATGATTGACTTGCGCAGCGATAGAGAGAAACTAAAGGACTATGTGGGAGCTGTGGTAGGACGTGTACAAGAGCATAATGTAAGGAAAAAACAACTTCGTTCATTCTTTTCTAAACTAACGGTAAAGACAGGTGTATAAGTAAAACATAAACAATGTATCCTCATCATTCCATGAACCACCACACCTATCCGTATCTCTCCAAGAATGCTACCCTTTCCTCCATACACTCCCGTGATAACAAAGGAAAGACATGTCCGGAGAATTTCCTGTCAATCTCTGAACCTCCACACCAATTCATTAAACCTCTGAACTCTCCTCTAGACTCCCAAAACCTCCACAATCTATCTCAATCAACTAACATCGATCTAGAACCTTCAATAGGGTGGACATAGGACACGAACAGTGGCCAGAGCGCCCGCTAGGAATTAGATGTTGTAAAACAAGTGGCAAGCCCGTCTACGGCCGCTTTTTTGGCTAACAATCTCTCTAGAGTGCTGGCCATTCCAGCAGCGCTATCACTTGATACTTGTCTTCACGCCGCCGATAGATTAGGTTTAAGGCGTTTCATACTTACAACACTAGAGAAAACACAGACGGATCCTATATTAGGGGGTTCACCTAGATACTACAAATATGAGTATTTCCATTCAAGCAATTTATTTCTATTCGGTTTTGACGCCGTGAATTCCCCTTGGCAAAAGCATACACGATAGCTGTCTGTGAGATCTTGGGTAATCCTATCACTCTGAAGTCTGGACAGCTGGAACTTTGGCAACAAAAACCCTGGAATGTCATCTGAATCCATTTCCTCCCAAAAAACGTTGACACACAATCAAAAAAAGATTATTTGGATCCTTTCACTAATTCCCTCGTGTGGGATTGAACGCATTCACTCTTTTAGTGGATATATATCAGATCGAGTCATTCTGGGCAATTTGAAAAATATCCTTAAATCGTGATTGAGCATGGATGAGTGAGTATCCTACTTGGGTGTTATACGCCCATGCCATGCGTGGAGTGGCTTATTCTGTGTGCGTTCTGCCTAGCCTGGAAAAAGCTAAAGGGCTAGTCTTCAATTGTAAGACTTGAAGCACTAAAATTTTCTCGTGAATACTATTGTTTCTTTGGTGTATTTCGAGTTATCGAGTGATAATCTATGTCAACTAAGTGTAAGAGCGTTCACAGTAGCAAGTCCTCGGAGTATCTAAGACATGTGCGGTACACCGTAGAATCAGAATCCCCCATAAACCCCGCCCGGGCCCGCCCGTCTCTCCTTCCGCTTATAGCATTTCCCACTCTTCAACACATCGACAACCCAATCGGAAAAAACCCAACTGTAGCTCCCCATACTCCAGGTGCGGTGTCGTCCGCATGACAAAGGTCTCTGGGGCTAGATCTACAGCTTCGAAAGCGCAGTTTTTCAGCTCAAAGCAAGTCTTGGAGACATAGGCACCAATCCAAATGGTGGGCTGTGGTTCGGGTGTTGGGAGGTTGGGGAGACACCTTGACTCTCTCTCTCACACCAAGGCCTGTTGGCCGGATGTTCTCTACAACTGCACTTTTCAGGTGTTCCACGACGGGTAGGTGTTTGCATACTGTAGAAATACCAAGATCGCTTCCAAATAAAATTTTATAATTAGACTTCGTAAGGAAAGGCTAAAGAAGATATTGGTAACTCCTGTCTAGCTAGAAGGTTTATATAGCCCGTGGGGCTAAACTTTATGAACTTATTGCTGTCGCTACGTTTCCTTCACCTGAACGTCCCCTGTAAAATGTAGCGCTTTGCTGTCCGAGAACGATAACCCCGAATCAAGCACTAAGATCTCCACGGAGATGAAAACTCCTGTTTTTAAACTTGGCGTGGAGAAGTGCGAGATGCGATTTCTTGCCTGGGCGCTGGAGAAGCAGGGCTCCCCATTGTGTCCCTTGATGTTGATTTGCGGGGTGTCGTCGCAGTGCCACTAGCGCTGCCCCCTAGGAAGGCGGGCACCCTCTGGTACCTTTTCCAGTAGCGGGGGGGGGAG